ATAATTATGTTCTTGATAACCAATTGTTCATTAACTAACAGAGTCTAACTCCAATGTTTTATACCATCTCAGCTGGGCTTCTTTTGTTTCAAAGAATCAAGGCATTATTACTTTAATAGTGCTTGTGTCTTGTGTGTTGGGTTGGGTTGGGTGTGAAACTTTTGAATTCCCTGACTACCCTTTTGGACTCTCCCAGTTTGCTTCCTTTAGCCTTGGACTGCCTTGATTTGGACAATTTTGGATCTTCTGCACTTGGTTTACCTTACATTCTGGTAAGACTCTCTTTGCTGATCCTCAAACTAATCCCACTCTGGGAACAAGATAATTTGGTAGGATCTGCCAGCGCTTGTGCCACAGGGCCCTGGGCCATTTCCTTGCCACAGTGAGGGATCAGTGTCGGACTTTGTGGAACACTAAGATGAACACACTAGAAAAAATGCATGTCAGACAAGACTAACAACATTTTCCTCATTGTCCAAAACTGGAGAATAAATGATATGGGATAATCTTGATGGGAAGCAGGGGAAAACAGGTATGAAGGATAGTTAGGGCACAATTTCAATTTAATATCCCTGAAAGAAAGCAGATCAATGGTGTGAGCATCGATTGTCACTTGATCTTGTTGTGCATTATACAAACCAAACGTGAAGGCTGGCTTATGAATAAGATAACATTCATTGGACAAATTTAAGATTAGGTGATGCCTTCTATTGAACCACTGAAACTCAAACTATTGTAATTGCATGTTTTCTTGGAGAAGATTCCACTTATCTGCCTAAGCACCACCACTTCATGGATAGTGGGGAAATTTGTAGTTAAAGAGTCCAAAACGTGATGGTAGATAACTCTGCCAAGTCTATTTGAAGAGGTGATTTCAGGCTCAGGTTTCAAACGTTATTGGGGGGGGGGTCTCAAGCCCCATCCTTTGCAGCATGGTTGGAATTTTACACCTGCTCTTAAGATGAAAAGGTTTGCCAATTACTCTGTGATCCTCCCCCCCCCCCGCACACACACGTTGCCTGCTTCTGAAACACAAAATTTATTTTGGGTTGTGGGGATGGGGGGAAAAAGCAACACAGAGAAATAGCAGCTTCTAGCAAAAGGCTGTGGTTATAATTTAGTTTGTTCACCAGGTAGAAGAAGCAAACAAATACCAGATTAAAGTCAAATTAGTATTTTTACCTGGTAAGCATAAGAAGATCTTTCTTCAGGTTGTAGTGTCCTGGCTGATGTCTAGAATCCACATTGCCTTGTACGTTATGCTGTGTGCAGCCATTAACGGTATCTTAGTCCAGAAATTGGACAGAATCCTATCAGTGTTCTTGTAAGGTCTGTATAACCTGCTGTGACTAACTGCATTTAACTGATGCAGTTTCAGGGTACATTTCAGTTGTATGATGACTGCACATGACTGAGACATGCTCCAACACCTTGTCAATTAGCAACAATCAGTGTGCTTATACAAATAGCATCAGGATTCTGAGCATTAAAAATGTCTTACCCAATCCAAATACTCATAACTACTTACATCCAATTACTTGAGTTTTAACCATTTTAGGGCTGCTTTATGTGTTACACTTGTCACCTGTACTGCATTGTATTCAAAGGTAACACATTATTTGAAAACCTCAACAGGGAGCAATTTTGCCTGCAAGGATTGCTGGAAGAGAAAGCTTCGGCTTCCTCCACCATTCCTGCAGCACTAACCAAAGACCACATTTGTATGATACATATTTCTAAATGTAAAAATTATGTCCTGAGTGGCAATGAATCCAAATATGAAAAATAGATTAGGCATCCTTCAGTCTCGAGAGACTATGATAACGGGCTCTGTATGGAGGACTTAGGACAGTGTCTAGTGCGGCTGAGAAGGCCAATTCGAGAGTGACAATCTCTTACACACTGAAGACAAATACAATCTGTCCCCTGTCCAGCTCCCCGATTTTGCTGCTTTCTGGAATGCCTCTTTGTCTCGGCGAGCTGGACAAGGGTCTCTTCAAATTGGGAGAGGCCATGATGCACCGTCTGCCTCTAGGCTGAATGCTCCGATGTCAGGGTTTCCCATCTGTTGAGGTCCACTCCCTAGGCCTCCAGATCCTGCTTGCAGATATCCTTCTATCACAGCTGTGGTCTCCCTCTGGGGCGATTTCCCTGCACTAATTCTCCATACAGGAGATCTTTTGGAATCCGACCACCAGCCATTCTCACGACATGCTCGAGTCAACGTAGTCATTGCTGTTTCAATAATGAATACATGCTAAAAATTCCAGCTCGATCTAGGACTACTCTATTTGGAACTTCGTCCCGTCAGGTGATACCAAAAATGCCTCGGAGACAACGCATATGGAACGTGTTCAGCTTCCTCTCCTGCCGTGCACAAAGGGTCCAGGAGTCACTGCAGTACAGGAGTGTGCTCAGGACACAGGCTCTATAGACCTGGATCTTGGTATATGTCATCAGCTTCTTATTGAGCCATACTCTCTTTGTGAGTCTAGAGAACATGGTAGCTGCTTTGCCAATGTGTTTATCCAGCTCGACATCTAGGGAGAGGGTGCCAGAGATCATTGAGCCAAGGTACACAAATTCATGAACAACCTCTAATTCTTGCGTGGAGGACTAAAAATAAAACAAAACCCTACCAGTTCTATATAGCTGCATAAAGGTTGTGTTGTAACATTCATGAACAACCTCCAATTCTTGCGTGAACAAAACCCTACCAGTTCTGTATAGCTGCATAAAGGTTGTGTTGTAATCAGAAAAGATGGGCAAGTGGCAAAATGTATACAAGTACGTTAAAAGCAAGGGAGCAAAATAATTTAGTTTACAAAAATAACAAGCTGCAAGAGCTATAATACAGCCCATTAGACATCTCCCAGCTTCACAGCTATAAATCTTGTAACATGCCTACTTCTAAGGAACAGGCTGCTAGTGAGTAGAACATAAACTGTTCCGCCTTCCAGATGACAGAAAGGAAAAAAATCTGGTGCCATCAGATATACGTAGGATGGTCTCACAATTAGAGTTCTATTCCCAGCTCAGGGCTGCTTTGTGTATTTCATGTTGCTTTTGCCTATATTGTGCACTCACAAAATGTAACATGTAGTACTTACATGCTTTATATTTGTACGGTTATATTTTATTTATAAGGTAAAGGTAAAGGTTCACCTTGACATTTAGTCCAGTCATGTATAACTCTAGGGCGCGGTGCTCATCTCCGTTTCCAAAGCCATAGAGCCAGCGTTTGTCCAAAGACAGTTTCCATGGTCATGTGGCCAGCGCAACTATACACGGAATGCCATTGCGTTCCCACTGAGGTGGTACCTATTTATCTACTACATTTTTACATGCTTTCAAACTGCTAGGTTGGCAGGAGCCAGGACAACCGATGGACAATCACTCCGTCGTGTGGATTTGATCTTATGATGGCTCGTTTTCTGACCTTGCAGCACAGAGGCTTTTGCGGTTTAACCCACAGCGTCACCATGTCCGTTTATTTATAATATTTATGTACAAATATGTTTATACTGCATGATCATACTATTTAATGGTTGTACACATCCTGCAGAGGTTATACGTAACAGGTTATAAAGAAACCAATCAATCAAATAACATGGGTTTAAGAAAACTGGTAAGTGGTAGCCAGTGACATGGAACAGAGTTGAGGAGGGTCATAATCTGATTCCTTAGGCAGTGCACCATGAAACAAAAGAACCCACCACAGAGATATCATAGTGGACAAAATGTGTAGCTTAGTTTTTGAGCTATATTTGTGAAATAATTGGGCATCCCCATTTCAGTGAAGGACAACATTCAATTTACTACTGAGTTGGAAGGGTCATTGGCTGACAGGAAGGTGTATAAGGAACTGTGTGACAGTCACCGAATTTCCCCCTTTCCAAAAATACTAGGTGACTGCACATGTTTTTAAGTGAAAAAAATTGTGAAGTGTCTGGAGGGAGACTGGTTGAACTATATTTTTCCACTCCAATGATGAATCATTTGTAATCACAATCATGTTAATGTTCAAGTGATGTGACTTAAGGCAGTTTTTCCCCTCTGAGAAATCAAACTTCTAAAGGAAGACCACTTCTTCTGACCTGAAGGCCAAACACTATCAGTGGTGTATTAGTGATACATTTGGAACTACAAGTGCTTGTAATAAAAGTCCCCATAGCCACCACTCCCCGCAGGGATTCAAATGGGAGCAGTTTCTTGATTGATCCTAGAGAAACCAAAGAAAAGTGATTCAGTGCCTCAGCAATAGTCTACCAGAGTATATCTTTTTAAAATCAGTTCCCCTGTCCCTCTGCCAAGGAGCAGAGGAAGTGTTCAATTTGCCAGTATCCTGAAGTGGCACTTTTATTAAGCCACTTCACAATAATGGAAGGAGCTGGCCCAAATAAGGTGGCTTGATCTCCAATATGCCATTAGGATCTGAGGACTGCACCAAATGGAATTATCATCCTGACCCTATTTAGCCCAAACCAGGCCACTTCAAAAGAGCCAGTGTAGACAAAGCCTTAGGCAGCTACTTTAGTGGTTTAAGCAGTTTTTCCTTGTTTATCCCAATCCATTTTTAATTGAAACATGACTCCATTTTTGTTTATTCATATGGGACAAACATTCCTGAGAAGCATGTTTTTTATGATGCGCGTCTTAAGGTGTCTAGATGGGCACCTTTTGATATGTTAACGCCTTTAAAAAAAATATGGGACAAACATTCCTGAGAAGCATGTCTTTTATGATGTGCCTCTTAAGGTGTCTAGATAGCAAGTGGGCACCTTTTGATGTGTTAACGCCTTTAAAAAGAGACTTAAAAGCCATGGCACAAGCATTCTGAAGTGGGGCTCCAGCCGCCCACGTGCGAAGCTGTTTAGCATTTTTAAGGTGTCACGAAATCGCTTCCTGGTTTGACCCTGGTGTTTTGTTTTGTTTTTAAGCTGACGCCCTACAGATCCGGCCTGGAGGGGCCAAGGAAGATTGAGTGGGCTGGCAAGATCCGTACAGGGGCGCCGCGCTTTCTTTTCCTGCCGGCGGGAAGGGGGATACGCCGGGGCGACTCCGCCGAAGGGGGAAAGATTAGAAAGCGCTGCACGTGGGTGGCTCGCCGGGCACGGCCAGGGGCGGCACCGAAGCCTGACGGGGGAGACCGGGAGGGAGTGGGCGGCTTAAGCCGCGGTCGCCCTCCTTCGTGCGGTGTCTCTCTCCTCCAGCTGCTGCTGCTGCTGCTGGGTGGCGCCTTTAAATGCCTTCCGCGGGAGCGACTGCCAGTACAGCCTCATCTGTGATGTAAGAAGAGACTTTAGGTGTCTGCGCCGATCGCCTGACTTTTCCTGCTCGCTTCTGCTGGGGCTCCTTCTCGCCCCGCCGTCCTTGGACGCTTTGCTCTTGGGGGCATCGGGGTTGCTTCGTCTGCAGCCGCCGCCCGGGGTGGATGTGCTGCTGAAGCCCTCCGGTAGCTAGCTAGCTAGCCAGCCCGCCCTTCTTCGCGCCCGCTTCTCTGCTGCCCGGCTCGGGCGCGCCCGGAACTCCTCGCTCTCCCGGGCACAGCGCGCAACTCCTCTCTGCTCGCTCGGGCGGCCGCGGTGCGCAGGCATGGAGGAAGGAGAGGAGTGCCGGGTGCTCTCCATTCAGAGCCACGTCGTGCGCGGCTACGTGGGCAACCGGGCGGCTGCTTTTCCCCTCCAGGTAAGTGAGAGAAAGCTGACCCTGAGGGAAGGAGTGCGCGCTGCCCAGCCGAAAGAGAGAGGAAGGGGGGGGAGAGAGAGGCGGCTGCTTTTCCCCTCCAGGTAGGTGAGAGAAAGCTGACCCTGAGGGAAGGAGTGCGCGCTGCCCAGCCGAAAGAGAGAGGAAGGGGGGGGAGAGAGAGGGGCGCCTTTCCCCGCGCTCTCGGCTGCGCGCAGCCCCGGGAAGTGCGCTGGAGCGGTTGCATTCCTGCCCGGCTGCGCGGAGAGCGACTCACGAGCGCGACGTGTGTGCAAGCTGTGACACTTCTCGAGCGGCCTGGCTGCCCGCTGAGGGGGGTGCCTTGCCTTGCCTTGCCTCGGCGCGGGTTTATTTGTGCAGAGATTTCAACACCGCTGCGCCCCCCCTCTGCCAGCTTGTGCTCTCTAGGCGAGGCTTTGCAAAGGCGGGCTCGTACCGGAGCCGGCGGCTGCAGCAAGCTGAGGAAGGAGAGAGCGACGAAGGCTTCCGTTTTGCCGTGGGGTGGAAGCGTTCTTGGCCGCAAATGCCTTCAGGCAGAAGGGAACCTTTCCACAGCAATGCCTGCCGTTCCGGCTGTGGGTCAAGGAAA